GCTGCAGAACGTTGGCAAGTGCTTGTATCTGGGCTGCATTTGCTTGTGGCTGTTCCACCAAAGCTTGAAGGGCTTGTTCCATTCCTTCTGCGACTTGCGTGTTGGTGTAGAACAGCACAATGAACAACAAAGCACGCGACTGCAACCGACATGCACATCTCCTGCGATAACGCTGCCGTCTTGACACTCGCTTCTCGCTCAACTCTTTTCTCTTTGCTGCAACACACACGTAGTGTAGGAAGATCCAAGCAATCATACCTGCGGGTGTGTACAACATCATCAGGCTCACGTAGGCGAATTCTTTCTGCTTGTGATACATCACTGAGATCTCAGGGCCGTAGCTCGACTCAAGGCTTTCTATAGTGTTCTTGATGTTGTACATAATCGTTGCATAGGTCTCGACAAGAAACTCTCTATACCTTTGTGACATGGTACTCTTTCTCGTAGTTCTTGTACACGTCGAACACATAGTTCATGAGTCTTGGTTCTTCATAGCGTATTGGGACTTGAGGTAGATGACGATACATGCTGGTGGCCATCAACTCCACATGCTCACTTTCTTCTTCATGCTCTTTACGAACTGGTACTTCTTCTTGCTTCACCAAAACTGTTCTTCCTCGGCCTTGGGTGTCCTCGACGTAGACATCCTCCAGGGTACTCTCCTTCTCGCTGCCGTCCTGGAAGGCAATTGCTTCTTTTACCACGATCGTGTAACTCTTGCTGTGCACTTCTTGCTGTACTGTGGGAACCGAGGGTACTCGCACTTCTCGCACAAAGGAGACACCTCCCTTCTTCAACACCACGAACCAACCTTCTAGCAGCAAAGCTCCAGCAAAGGTCAGTAGCAAACCACAGCAAGTCACTCGCATCCAGAAACCACAACCAATCAGGTCTGCTAAAGTTCTCTCTGTGGTAATTCTTGATCCACGAATAACCAAACCATCTGGGAAGCAAAACTTGCAACCTGGCAAAGAACGTGACTGGCTCCGGTTCGTTTCTGAGTCCAGGGCAATCTCGAAGCTTTTGGGCACATCCCTGGGACTGAGCGATGATCAGCTCTGCAAAACGCGACTCATCCTTCGGGTTCAAGGTATTTCTCACTGCGAACAAAACCTCTTTCAACAGCATGAGCGCCATGGTCATGAGGCTCGCACTCATCAGCACAAGGCTTACTGCAAGGCACATATCTCTCACTATCAAACCCAAAGTTGCTGAAAGCGTTCTTGCTGCTTGCCATCATGTACTGGAAAAACTCACTCGCGGCGCTGCCATCGTCACTGGCTGTGGAGGTTCCAGCTACAGCAGACAAAAGCTGCAGAAGGGCGCTGGCCGCCAACATGGATCGCATCATCGCTCCCTGGGATCGTGGGAGCTCCGCTACACCATGTTGAAAATCATTCGAACCACCGTGGCTCGTTTCTCTCTACTGTACTTACGTACTGCGCGCGACTTTTTCTCACTTCGGTCCTGAGCCACAGCCTTCCGGGTTCGCACTGCTTCAGCTCGTGCTTGGACACTTCCTACTGCACCACTACTTCCATTCTCTATACAGTACACGGTACACAGTGACAGTCTAACAGAACTGCTCTGGCAATCTCACTCTTTTGCACTCCGAACTGGGCAATGTCATGCGGTCAACCAATCTCCAACTATGTGCAATCGTCATCCAGGAAACACTGTCTCCGTCGGTTCATCGCAACCATAGAGAAGAATGGAATCGGCAATCAATCAGCAGTCTGCAGCAATTGTCCAGCGCTCAATCCGAGCATCATGTTGCCAATCGCTGTTGCAATTCCCGAGCAGAAGATCAAAATCAATACTGTGGGTCAGCCAAATGCTGACGAGCTCTCAATCAGAAAGAGGCAGCAGTCCCATGCTCCTCAATCATGAGAGACGCAATCCATCTGCGTCTGGGCCAATCATGCCAATCACTGTTGGCCTTTGCGTTTCTTCGCAATGGTGGCAGCCGTTGCCAGCATGACTGAATACTCCTGCTGGGTCAATGACCCTGCGGACGAGCTTGAATCGCCCAATAGGTCAGCCTCAGCAGCAATGTCATCTGCTGGAACTTCTTCACAATTCTCGGTCAATAGACTCAGCTCTGGAATTCCCTCAATCTGCATACTGCTCAAAGGGAACGAGCAATGCCTGTGCAATGCCTCTGTTGGCATCCAGTTGCTGTACGAGGAATTGTGAATCAATGCGCATGCCTTCTCAACAGTCAATGAGGTGAGCTCCAATATCACGCAATGCTGTCGGCAAACGGCGGGGAGACAATACTTGTACTCACCGCCAGTCGCGTACGACGAGTCAATCGTCATACACCAGCTGCAGCCCAAAAAGCTGCAATTATGAAACTTCTTGAAGCCTCCAATACCGGTTTCGGTTTTCAATCGCGTATCCGCCATTTCGCGGGTTCGCCTGAACACCAATATCTTGACAAGTTCATCTATCTGCCCCCGCGAAAATCTTGATTGTCGGTACCAATGAGCGAGTTTTCGAAGACTCGCTTCAATGGTAAACTGTGGGTTCAATTGCCCAAGCGGTGTGGGAATGGTCGCCGTTTGGCCACTCGCCAATTGCTCCACCGATGAAGATGGCAAGGCAAGGCAAACGAACCAATCCACCAATTCATCCACTTGCTTGTATTGACGAGCCCTGTACAATGTAATCGCGACAGATGTCGCGAAAATTTGCTTCAATGCCCAATGGCACTCCATCACACGATCCAGAATCAAGAATGAAAGGTCCAATGTGAACGTTGGAATCTCATCATCAGATCCAATGGTCATCCTCGCAACACAGCTGTTGCAGACATGAATCAATGTCAGGATTATGACATTCGCGAATCCGCAATGGGATGAATACCCATCGGGCACCATCACGCGTGCCCAACGGTTGTTCACCAACCATCCAAGTTGCAATTCAGATGGCACCACCTTGCCACTGAATCGTGACACTTGCTGGCAATACGTTGTCAATCCGCTCTGAATCAGGTCAGCAATCTGCAACATGGTAGGGCAATCCAAATGCACAATGCCTTCGTTCAAGGTCACATCGCAGTAGTGGTCAATCGTCTGTGCAACCTCGATCAATGCAGCGCGCCACTGTTACAATGTTACAATTCAAGTGTTGCAGCAATCATGGCAATGCGCGAAAAGAAAATGGTAAAAGCCTCTCTCAATCGCGCCAGAATTGTCCTTTCTGCCCAGCGCAATTGGTTCATCGGCTCATGCACATGACTCGCAATCTGACTGACAATGTTCTGGAATTGCTCCAATGGCGTACCCTGAGGCAATGTCGTCGGTGGGGCACCGACATTGAACCTACTAGCTTCACCCTGGGCCCTCGGTGAAATTGAGATTGGCTTAAACGGCCTTGTACAAGGCCTTCCCCTGGCTCCGGCGGTTTTTCGCTTGAAAACACAATAAATCCGGAGCCGGCCCTGTCACCGGCGCTTTTTTCGCTTCAAAACAAAATAAAACAGGAACCGGGCCTCGTGCGTGTTTCTTTTTCTTTCAAAATAGCCAAAACCAGAAGTTGTGGCCAGCGAAAGAGACCCGACAGGTAGCAAAAAGCTGGCTTGTGGGTAAAATCTCGCTTCGGAACGGCTTATTTCGATTGCATGTCGGCTTGGGGACAGTGTCAAAGGCAATTTAACACAAATACAAACAAAACCAAAATCCAGGCCAGCCAAAAGGAACCGACAGGTAGCTAAATCTGGCTTGCGGGTAAAGTCTCGATTTGGAACGGCTTGCTTCGATTGCATGTCGGCCTGGGGCTTGGTGTCACAGCCAATTTCAACACAAATAAAAACAAAAATCACACTTGCATAGAAAATAATATTTTGCCGGTGCCATTTCGCTTCCCCTCGCAAGGGTACTGGACCACTGCGCCACGATGAGGCAGGTACAGTTTGCAGCAAAAAAAATCTTGAGGCTTCGTGTTGCGCCTGGAGGCAGTGCCTGAGAATTAATTATTCATTAATTGTATTTTATTCTTAACCAAAAATTCTCAGCATGACTGTTCGTGCATTTGTGCCGCCGGCAAGTCTTGAACAAATGTTGGGTGCCACTTAGCTTCCCTCGCAAGGGTACTGGACGACTGCGCCACGATGAGGCAAAAAACCGTTGCAGAGCTTTTGTAGCAGCCTCAAGGCAGCGCCTCAACGCAAAATGCCTGTGAAACAAAACAGTTCTTTAAAAGGCATGGGTCGCTTAAGCACAAGGTTGTAGGAAACGCAGAGCCTTACAGAGCCACTTCCTTCTGCCCTCCGGATTCCCCTGCGTTGCACAGCACCTGTTTTCGTAGTACCCACCAGAGCATCCAAAGCCACACGCGCACTGCTTTTTGGAAACGCGCCACCACGCAGAAACTTCTTGAGCTGCCAGAGAACACTTTGCAGGTTTTGCGCGGGCTCTCTGCCTGCCCGCGCAATCCACGAACCAAGTATGCTTCGAACAGGGGCACAAAATTGCAACATTGTGTGACAGAGCTACACGGCAGCACAGAACAATCAGAGATCAGGGAGCACTTTGAAGAGCGACTGGCTTGGTTTAGGGATTCAGGTTTAGGATCTGGGGCCGAGGGTTTAAGCCCTAAGTCTATGACCTGGGATCTCGGGTCTGGGGGCAAGGGTCTCGCGTGCCCAAGTGAAGGACACTTTATGTCCACTGCACATCTGGCCCAAACTTCAAAACATAAAACTTGCACGACAGAGTCACATGAAATGATATGAAATGCTTTTAGCACCCCCAAAAGCACCAATAGCCCTCAAAAACCTGTGAAGCTCATGAAAACCACAAAATCTCACAAAAACTCATGAAACACCACAAAATTTCACAAAATCTCATGAAACACCACAAAATTCCACAAAATCTCGTGAAAACCCAACAAAATTCTACAAAAATCTCATGAAACACTACAAAATTTCACAAAATCACATGAAACACCACAAAATTTCACAAAATCTCATGAAAACCCACAAAATTTCACAAAACAGCAAAAACAACACAAAAGCAATGCGGAAGTGTCGCGGAAGTGTCGCGGAACTGTCGCGGAACTGTCGCGGAAGTGTCGCGGAAGTGTCGCGGAACTGTCGCGGAAGTGTCGCGGAAGTGTCGCGGAACTGTCGCGGCACATGCCTTTGCCAGGTCTCAGGGCCCTGCCCCCTTTGTCCTCTTTGGTTTTGCAATTTTTGGCCGGGATCGGCCCGTTTTTGCTGCTTTTGATGAATTCATAGCTCTTTGGGCTGGTTTCTGGTGATTCTGCACGTTTTCTGTTGATTCTGCACGTTTTCAAGCTTTTTTTAATGTTTTCTCATTGTTTTGCATTCTTTTTGTGCGATTTCTCTGTTTTTCGAGCTGCTTGCATGGCTTTGCGCAAATTTCAATATTTTGCGGTATATTTCGACTTCTTTATACTTGTTACCAAGCACCACTGGGCGACTGACTCGGGAGGTTGTGCCTGCAACTGCATCTGCGAGAGGTTAATGACTGGCGCATATAGGATGCAAAGGCGAGGTCCTACCGGCAAAGTGAACGTTGTTGTTCCTATCAAGGTCTTTACGGCAGACTCTCCCATACTCATCGTGGCGCAGATTCCAGATCTCTGTACTCTGAAAACAGCGCACCCCTAAACCCTAAACCTTAAATCCTAAACCCTAAACCCTAAGCCCTAAACCCTAAACCTTAAACTGCCGAGAGCACCGCTGACCATTGGGCGCTCGAGGCTCCAACCGAAGCCCCCGGCCGAGCGTCTCGACAGAACGGTGAGGGAGGGTAAACGTGTCAAGGGCCCCTGCCACACAGAAAGTGTTTGCACCAAGCCCACGGCTTGAACTTGGATTCTGAGCATCACCCGAAGCCTCCGGCCTTCCTGGGCAGCCTGAACATTTATTTGTTTGGTGTTCTGCTGGTGTTGCCGCCAGTTGTCTGGAAAACCATGCAACTAGACAGCGAACATCCCGAGAACCACTCGCTAGAAGTCTACAAAAGTCTACAAGCACTTGATACTACATTTCGATCTTGCTAAATTCTAGTTTTTGCAGTTCTGCTCATTCAGTGTTGGATTTTCCCAGATTTTGACCGGTCCTGACCTGAGCCAGAAGTCTGGAGTTTAAGTCAAAGAGCAGGCATGAACCAGCAAAAAACATCTGTGATTCTGCGTGATCTGATGTGTGTTCAGCTGGTGCTGCCGCCAAGTGTCTGGAAAACCATGCAGCCAGACAGCGAACATCCCGAAAACCCCTCGCTAGAAGAGTCTACAAGCACTTGATTGATCCTGCCAACTGCTAAATTCTAGTTTTGCAGTTCTGCTCTTTCGTCCTTGACAGGTCCTGACTTGCACCGA